GTGCATTATCATCTTGAATGCTTCCACATTATTTCAAATACTTTATTTGTTTCAGATCAGAAGTGTGCAGGTGCATGTGTATATGCTTGTTTGTATTTGTACTGAATTCTCATTGGAGCTGAGACAGCACTGTGCCTGGTGTTAGGTATCACATAAAACAGCAGATGGAAAAACACAAGTTACAACAGATGCCTCATTACAAATGAGTATCTGTAAATAGTATTTTTCTCCAGGAGACACATTTGGAAAGGGATGAAGGAAATTAGAAACAAAGGGATGTGCCAACCTTCATTCTCTGGGAGTGCCAACATTCATTCCCTGATGATTATTGCCTTTGTCTTGGCCCCAGTTAGTCAGTGAAAAATCAGAAATTATCCTTTTTGGCCAACAAAGGCAAAGGCATCAAAGGCTTTTTGAGGGCTGTTTCACTTCCAGTCCACACGTTTTTCTTCCCAGGGAGAGTGGTGAGGCACTGGAACAGGTTGCCCAGAGAAGCTGTGGATGCCCCATCCCTGGAAGTGTTCAAGACCAGGCTGGATGAGGCTTTGAGCAACCTGGTCTAGTGGAAGGTGTCCCTGCCCATGGCAGGGGAGTTGGAAATAGATGGTCTTTAAGATCCCATCCAGCCCAAACCATATTATGATTCTATGATTTTTAACTGCCCTTACATTGGCAAAATATAAGTTCTAATGATGAATATGTCCCACGTCATCCAAATTACAAGGGAATTACTCTTCATTGTTTTCACTGCAGCACTAACATGGTACATGGCTTGAATTCAATTTACCTTTAGCTTTTCTGTACAGGTGGGTGTGAGTATGAGGCAAAATCATTAGAGCCGCAAACAATGCGATGAAGATAAATGTATAGACACTTGAAATTCTTGTTAATTTCATGACCATGAGTTACCAAAACATCTTGAAAATGTGATAATTAATTATCTCTAAACACAAGTTATTTCCTAAGATGTAATGTGGTGATAGAATCACAACAACAGCAACAACAAACCAGGAATCTATAAAAACTGGCTTATTTCTAAACAACTTTTTTTTTTTTTTTAATTTAGAGAAGACAGAGTAGAGGAAATACCTTGTCTTCTCATGCAGTGGAGTATCTGTCTGTTACAAAACAGAGTAGTTCAAGGAATATTCAGATTAGTCTGGAAAAATTACTTTCGGTTAGAATAGATAAGCCTGAAATAGTCTACACACAGGAATGCTCCCTCTCTCCAATTGGATATTCCTATTACTGCAGAGCATCCATCAGGAAATGTTAGTGCTAGAATTAACTATGCATTTAAACAGAGGAAGAGGCAAGACAGTGTCTTAAGCTGTCCTTTCCAGCTTAAGTCTATATTTCTGTCATTTTCCCTTTTCCTTTCTTTTAGGAAGTTTGGTGTCTGATTTTTAAATGAAGAAATGTAAAATCAAGGGACACTGCAATTTTTTCTTTAATAGTTATTTACCTGAAGTAAGATAATTATCTGCAGAACTGCCTTTTCAGTATATGCCCATATATGCTGTTTTCCACACAGCAGATAAATCAAAGTCATCTCACACTGAAGAGGAGAACAACAATCAAAATTCAGATGCTGAAGTCCTAGAAGAGAAGATTGACATAGCCAAGGACCAGGCACTACATAGGTATGTTATGTAAAGTATAAAAAAGTTTCTTCAACCACATGTTTAAGCATGTAATTAATCTGAATCTAATATGTGATCCATGATAGTACTGACATGCCTAATGTTAAGAATTTACTTGGTAGTTTCTCTAATGTGGAGCCAAAAGAGTACTTTAATTTTTGGTGCAATGTAAGTAATCCTAGAAGATAAGAATTCATGTGTTTTGCTTTTCCAAAGTATCCTTCCAAGGAGGATTTCTTTTTAAGATCTATATATTACCTGAACCATATGTGTACATACTCATATATATATGTATGTATGCATAAATCTATCTGAGGCATCATCATGTGACTGCCCTTGAGTTACAGATACTTTAAAATGGTATCTTCCACTTTTAAATTTATAAAAAAGTTTTCTATTTTTCATTGAAACATTAGATGTTTGAATTCAAATAAAGAGCAAAATCAAGAACAAAATGCTTTCTTTCTAAATATTCAATACTATTAAATATTTTAGAGTATTATATTATTGATTATTATTGTTTTATTTGCAATATAAGAATGTAGGTTTAGCTTGTGTCAAGAAAGAATGAGTAATATGTAAGTCTAGTTAACAGTAGGATTTTGAAAATTTTCCCTCTGTTGAAAATAAAGAGGTTGGTGTGGATGGAGTATTATTTTGCAAAAACTATTGCCTGGATTTGTTTTAGTATTAAATTAGATTATCTGTTTTTTCTTTTGTTTGTTAATTTGGGAAAATGCTATATTTTCCATTAGTTAGATTTTAATCTTACACATTAATATGATTTTTGTAGAATTTCAGGCTTTCTAGACACATGGCCAAAATTAGAGAAATGGTTTTCAGTCCATCAAAATATTCTCGTTAAAGTCAATGCAGAGAGAGAAGAAAGTCTTGTGTGTGAAACAGTGAAGGAAATTATAATGGAAGAAATTGCCAAAAAACAGAATAGAAGTAAGTTTTCCTATTGTTACTTTTTACAGTTCAGTAAAAGACTTCATTCTTTATAAATAACACTAACAATTCATATATAAAACTGCATGGAAACATACATTTTCACTGGCCTTTTAAGACTTTGGGTTTATGAGAATTAGTGATAGCCGCACCTGAATTCTGAACTTTTCTGTTGTGTTTTAACCTTTTCAGAGGATATGGACCAATTTCACATAATTGTAAAAATCATTTGAGAAAAAGTTTTAAAATATTTAAAAGAAAGTGTCAATTGGATTTATTTAAATCCCATGAATTGAAGGATTATTCAATTCAGTCCTTTATTCCTGGTTCAAATATTATAGCTAGCATTTTTACCATATGTAATAGCATAGTGGTATAAGAAAGACTAACTTGCCATGATCAACATATGTTCATTTATCAGCAGCAGCTGAAAAACGTGGATGACTTGGAGTGTTTTTGACATATGTTTTGATGCATCTTTTCCATTTTTCCTCTTAATCACCCAAAAGAAAAGAATAATTTAAAAATAAAGTGATTTTGTAACTATGGCATCACTGGTTTGATTAGTGTATTATTTGATGAACACCACCTATGTGATGAAATATTGAATCTGTTCCATTATTTTGAACTTTTAAGAAGCATACATGTCTAATTCTGTTTACTGGTACTTAAAATTCATTTAAAAGTACTAATTGTGTGTTCATATACAAGGGTCTGCTCAAGAAATATCACCAGGAAAAAAGCTTTTACCAGTTACACCTCAAGATCCGCTTCCTTCCATGTCTGTGGCACCACCACCAGTTGAACCAGGATCCGATGAATGGATTTATGTAGATGAACCACTTCCCCAGGTACATTCATTCATGCTTAAAAGTCTCAGATATCAAAGTATATATTTTTATGAGCATTTTATGCATACTCTACCTAAACCTTTTTTCCTCATTGCACGTTGTTTTCTTCAATATTTTTCAATGAAAGAGACAATAGTACTGTTTTATAAATACCTAAAATTACTAACAACACTTACTACTAAAATACGTAAAATAAGGACACACATTTTAAAAATTTGATCATTGTTTTTGTCTAACTTCTTCTCAATGATAATGAAAAGTAGCACATGGATGCCCAAATAATGCTACTTCTTAATACTATGAAGTATTAGCATAGACTTACTAGGTCAGTTTACTGGCTCTCACAAGGGCCAGTTGTGCATCTCATAGAAAGGATGTGATTGAGTGCACTGATCTTTCTCCTAGCATACTTTTTCTAACATATTTTCCCTGAGAGCACTTTCCTTGTTTCCAGTGATCAAAAGATGAAAGGCTTCCTGATATGACTTTGTATTTGCATCTTTGTGTTTAGTAGCTCCCAATAGAGTTTTCTTTTATGATTATGTCTAGTTGGTTTTTTGTAGCAATTTAATTTTCAGTCTCCATGATATAGCATGTATAATTATGCTCATTCTGAAAAAATGTTTCTATTTGCTTTAAACCTGTTGTTTGCTTGGGTCATTTGATAACCCTCATTCTTCTATCGTGAGATACATTGAATAATAATAATTTTATAATCACTCTCTGAAGGTATTTACTATGTGACAGGCATCTATTACGTCTTCATTTTGCTCAATGTTGTTTTACTTCTCTGATCTAGTCAACATCTGTATAACACCTCCTGTGGAGCAATTCATGTTGGTCAAATGTGACTTTTACAACACTAGACAGTCAGCTTAGATTTTTACGAGCTTGAATATTTGTGTACTATCATATTTTGATACTTAAGCACTCAGTATCTTCACTTACTTTGTGAGTATATCCAAAACTGCAGATACTGGCATATTCTGCTGGAATTTCCCATTGATTTTGAGTACTGCCACTTTCCTTCTGCAGAACTGCACATGATAAACTATATGTTGATACAGTGTCTGTAAGCAGTTTTAAACAGTTTTAAATCAGAAGAAATGCATAATTAAAAAAAAATCAGTAATATGATTTAATCAAATAATCTCTCTTATATTTCTAATGCTACAGCTAAGTGGATTATCAAGAAATATATCAATTAGTCTTAATGGTTTTTTTTTAAATTCACAGGAGGTACCTGGTTTTTTAGTACCTTACTGGGAAATGGTAGAAAACACATATGTGCATACCATCAAAACTATACTTAGATGTCTAAGGGATGAACAGCACTCTGTGATTTATTACTCAGCAGATGTTAGGTGAGTAGATATAGTAGCTTATTACATTAATATTAGTATTTTTTATTTTCCCTGTGGCATTCTAGATTTCTTTTAACACTATTTTCTTTTTTTACCATAATATACAGAAAAAAATTTCAAGATTATTTGAAGCGTCCAGATCTTAAGCAAGGGTTTGTATCTCAGTGGCAATCAGATTTTAATTCAGTTGCTGATGACCTGCGAGAAGATGAGGAAACAAAAGCAGAACTACACCAAAGAGTTACTGTAAGTAAATGGCAAAAGTTATAATACACACTAAAGTGTTATTTCATTGTATACAAGCTTTATGTAACATGAATGATGTTATTATTTACATTTTTTTCTTTTTTACCACTTCTCTTAAAGTATTTCACTTCTACCTGTACATAAAATTATCTTCACAATTATTTCTGTGGTTTTTGGCCCTATCTTTCTTATGTCTTGCTTCTTTTTCTAGGCTATACTGTGGTATTCTGGCACAGTGCAAAATAAATATTTTTCTGCTTTCTTTTTCTTTACTTTTAATGGTTTTCAGAGATTTTACTCACAGGTTTGGACATTTCTCTCACATTCTAATAAATCTTGGCAGACATTTATTTTTTCCACAAATGATATATGGTAGTACATGTTTTCTAAAACTGATTCATACAAGGTACAGAGAATCTCTCTGAAATTTTTTGACCCAGGTAGGTCTTTGCTAAATCATACATGACCTGACAGGAGTTCTTTATAAAAATCCATTAACACTAAGTGTCCTAACAAGTTCGGAGACAGATTTAACATAGGCAGGAAGTAGAGCTATTTTGGTATTTATCAGATTCCCATTTCAGAACAGATGTGATTTTTAGTTGAAATCATGTCAAGAAATGCTCCCAGAAAAGTTGGAAAAAAATGCTGGCAACATTGTTAGTTGAAGAGAACATCGATGGAAACATGGATGAACTAACTGAGATGGAAAAAGCTTGAGACCTCCTTTTCTTTAACTTTATTTCAGTGGAATGAAGTAAAGGACTTAAAAATCATCATCCATGTTTCTACTAAATGGAATTATAAGAAGACGGGAATCCCTTGTTCCTATCTTTTAGAAATCTAAAATTTAAAATATTTGGCCTTTCACTCGTAACAGAAATCCATGTTTGACATTGTCCATTTCAAATTAGGTGAAGAGGAGGTGATAGTCCCATATGATGCAGTGAGACTCATACTGTGAGAAGGCTAAGCACAGCATGTAAGGCAGTTTGGAGTAAATACATGATTTCCCGAATTTCTGTTTTTGAATTATCCTTTCCAGTCTCTGTGGATACCAAAACTGTGGGTCAATGTGAAGATGATACTTACTCTTCACTTTTAAGTCCTACCCATTATGCCCACCTGAACATAAGAATTCTGCCATCCATCCTTCCTTGATACTAGAAAAGGAGAGAGAGGAAATGAGAAGAGTGATAACCTGTGGAATGTTTTTTCTCAAATGTTTTTGGCTTTCCCAGACTGCCCAACTCTGTCATCTCAGCTGGACCCTTTTGAAAACATTACCTGCACTGGAAGCTGCCAGCTGTAAAACCTGAAAACCAAATTTCTCTGATACCCACTGGAAAACGTAAAAATCTGCCGCATTTTGCAGTGTGTGAAAAACTCCTCAAAGGCCTAAAGCCCAAAGGGCAGTCAAGGCTTTGGCACTCTCAAGATCCAAACTCAGACCCGTTGGTTGAAATACACTTCAGAGGCCTATCTCTGTTACAGTCTTTCCATGATTGCTGCCCTTGCCCCATTGTTATCATCAAACATGGTCAGTCACTTGGTCCCACTACTTCTCTTCTTCCAGACAGGAGATTTAGCACGTGCATCATTTTTTTTCTTTTTTTCACTCACCTGAGTACAAGGAGATAAGGAGAAAAGCTGCATGACCTTGAGAGGAGGAAGAGTGGTGGGAGGGATAGAGACATATAAGCCATGCTTTTAGCTTCTCCCAGAGGAAGATATCTCACTGTCGCCCTCTCCAGTTATCCCCACTGCTTACAGTAAATCGTAACGGTGACTTGAATAACATGAGGACAAAGAAGAAAATGCTTCTCCTCAGGAAGGTGCTGGAAAGAGCTTTAATCAGTTTGTACAAAACATCAGTTTGTTTTGTTTGTGTAGTATTGGGTTTATGTGGCAATGTTTTGGTAGCAGAGGGTCTGCAGAGGGGACTTCTGTGAGAAGGTATCAGAGGCTGCCCCCATGCGAACAGGGGCACTGCCATCCAGCTCCAAGAAGGACCTGCTGCTGGCCAAAGCTGAGCCAGTCAATGGCGATGGTGGTGCCTCTGTAATAGCATATTTAAGAAAGGGTGATAAACTCTGCGTGGCAGCTGTGAGAGAGAAATGTGAAGACATGTGAGAAAGAGCTCTGCAGACACCAAGAGCAGTGATGAAGGAGGAGGAGGAGGTGCTCCAAGCACAAGAGCAGAGATTCCCCCTCAGCTTGTGGAGAAGACCGTGGTGACACAGGTTGTTCCCTGCAGTACACGGAGGACCACAATAAAGCAGATATATCCAGTCTGCAGCCCATGGAGGAACCCATGCTGAAGCAGCTGGACATGCCCTGAAGGGGGGGGGCAGCTTGAGAGCCCACACCAGGGCAGGCTCCTGGCAGGAACTACAGCCTGTAGATGGGAGTCCACACAGGAGCAGGTGTTCTCGCAGGACCTGTGGCACATGGGGGACCCATGCTGGAGCAGTATGATCCTGAAGACTGCACAATGTCATGGTTTAAACTCATGGATTGAGATAAGAACTACTTAATAACTGAATGTAAATGGATATAATAGTGAGACTAATAATACTAACAATACCACTACTAGTACTAAATAATTAAAATAATAGAAAGTAAAACATATAATACAGTTGCTCACCACCCACTGACTGACACACAGCCAGGTGCTGTGTAGTGAGAGTCAGAGCCAGAGAGCCGGAGCCCGAGAGCGATCACAACAGAGTCTAAGTGAGCCGCATGAGGTAGGGTAGAATTGCTTTTAGCAATACGTAGGGTAGAGTTGCTTTTAGCACAAGAGACTGCTCATTTTAGCCTGCCTTAGCACTGCATTTAACAGCATTCTTCTCCTCCCATCACCTCTTGTTACATAAAGGTCTGTCACACTACCTCCATGCAGAGATGGTGGTAGAGAACAGAGGGTTTGCATGCGTGTTGTGCGCTTAGTAGGTCTTCAGAGCTGTGAGTGAACCACACAGTGCTGCTATTAGATGTAGCCACTAGTTAAAGAGCCCTTATTTATAAAGAATGTTAAAGAAAAATGGCATGGAACTATCCAGATTGGAAGAATACTTGAACTCTGACATAATTTTCTCAGAATTTTTCATATCACACATTCCCTTAGAATATTCTTAGAAATGTATTAGGTAGCAAACCATGCAAGTGGAAAGTTGGTGCAGTTGGGAGCTTAGCTATTCATATTATCACATCTTTGTCTAGCTTACACAGGTCTTCTCTGCCTAAGGAAAGCAAGGCAGACTACACATTGATCTCATACCATTGTGTTCTCCTTGGCACATTTGTAAAGCTACTTTCTATCAGTTCTCTGAAAGCGTATGAGTTGTTGACCAGTCTCTGACATTTATAACCATGAAGAAAAATCCCCAACTGAGAAGTTGCCCTATGCACAGGCAAAAAACACAGTTTTTAATAATAAATGTAAAAAAGGTATTTAACTTTTCTTTCATAGTTATTTCTCATGTCTGATTTTGTGTTTTAGGACCTAAGAGATCTTCTCTGGGATATTTGCGATAACAGAAGGGAAGAAGCAGAGCAGGAACATACTGATATTATGAATGATGGCTGGTTACCAGATCACAGGGGGATTGCAATGAACCATTTCTTTTCACTTATGCAGGTATGGACCTACTACAGAGTTGTGATGGAAAGGGACAATGAATAGGTTTGGAGGACAGTAAGTCTCAGAGGGATTTCATATAGTTAGCTCCAAATAAGTGAGGGATTGAGAATTAGATAAGCAAATGTTCATGCCTGTTCTGAATTTATGTAGAAGGTTAAGAGACAAAATGCAGATGACATTCCATACATTTAACTGTTTGGCAGGTAGAAAAGATTACAAAAAGTCCAATTGTTATTGTGCAACCCCCGAACTTCCAATCTGAAGCATAGGGTGCTACTTTTTGCAATTTTGTCAGTCCAGTGAACTATTTGAGTTTTGAGTCTGTTTCTCCTGCTGTGATCATATTGACATCTGCTCCTAATTTACATATTACATAATTCACTACTGTTGTAGACCCACTTGCTGTTAAGGATGTCCTGTATTTGCCAATATCGCAAAATTATTTCGGTTGTAACTTCACCAATGTGGCTTGAAATTTTGCCTACAGGCTGAAAAAGAAAATTGCAAGGAATGCTTTTGAAAATGTGGTATAATTTGTTGCTCTTGAGAAAATCCATTCAAATATGACCCAGCTTTCACACATCTCACTTTAAAGCTTTCAGGAGTCCATCTTCAATTAGCTGGTTCTCCCCTCCCCCACATTTAAGCCTTCTCTTTCATTCAGTCTGACCATTAATTACTTCAATTCCTGAGGTAAAGTAAGACTTCCCTGTGACTGCTGTTCTAGGTGCATACATTTGGGACTGGACTGGACTGGACTGGAACAGACTGACTAGACATACTTTTCTGTAAACTGAGTCACCATTCTGTGAAAGTTTTGACAACTTTAAAAAAAAACAGTAAAAACAATACTTTAAACATGTACAGTGTGATGCTATTTTGGGTGAAAAATCAGGCTTAAGCAGCTTAGGGTGGGTTTCCTGCCCTTTAATTCTCTGTGTTATTTTTATATGTCCAATGTGTCTTATAAACAAGGGAACCACTCTCTTATTCCATATGAATGTTGTGGTAATTTTAGTGAAGTTTGTGAAGTAGTAAGTTGCTATGGTAAGGAAATTATTAATTCTGTTTCCAGAGAGTCTAAATAATGCCCTGAATAAAGACTTCAGGCCAACAGCTAAAGAGAGAGTTCAAAATATCAAGTAACTGCTGACTAACTGAATCACATTAATTCTGTAATTAATGTATTTATAGGACTGACAATTTAAAAATACATCTTGAATTATATGAATAAGGGAGCCAAATAAAAGCAATATTGCTGAGGTTAAATCTTTTATTTTTATCCTTTTATATTCACATATGATTTTGCAATCCTAAACCTCTTCTAGCAGAATTCCATGGATGTGTGTGATTGAGTCAGAGGAGATTCACTATGAATCAAATTTTATCTATTTTGTGTGAATATGCAGATTAGCAATTTAAAATTAGAAATAGGTGTATTAACCATATATAGTCTTTTATTTACCTAAAGAAAATTGCAAAGGAAACAATTTTTACTTTATTTACTTAGTGTATGCTCCCTAAAATAAATGAATTATTAATGTTAAAACTACAGGACTAAAAATACAATAACTATATCTTTATGCTACGGTTTGTTTGAGAGGCAGACAAAAATAGTCTTCCTTGGTCTGGAGCTTTCAGTCTGTGGGTTTTTCTGTGGGAAGTTACATATATTCCCCAGGTGGTTCTGTTACTGTATAAACCCATAGATTTGTATAAATACTGTTTATCAGATTTCTTTACACCTTTCTGTGTACACACTCTTATACTAGAAGATATTTTTTCCTCAACTTATGGATGTGCTGGTTTACACCACAAAGGTTTTCTCCTTTGTTTTGTGAATGTGGTTTTATGCATTTTCCCATGAATATTTAGTGCTGTTTTGTCAGTTAGAAACTAACACCATCTTCTATCAATAAATCAAAACATGACAGGTGTTAAATGTTTTTTGAATCTTACTTGATTTCTTCCAAGATGCTTCACACAAAAAGATCTTCAAGACACTTAAGTGTATAAAGTCTGTTGGTTCCTGTGGTCCAAAAGAACTGTATGACTTTTAAAAATTTTCTCCAGCACTTAACCCTTTTTATTTTCCACTATTAAGGATTTAATGTCTTTTGAACAAAAAGATCCCTATAATTGTTGGTGCTATTATACTTGCCACTATTGAAATGCATGAAAATATATTGTAATAAAATTTAAATCATCAAACATTATTTATTGTAAATAATTTTTCGTATTCTAACTAAGATGTTTATTAATCCTTAGAAATCCCAGTATGAAAACATGATATGTGCAGGTAGAAGAATGAATTGAATACACTATAAAATTTCAAACAAATATGGTTATGTTTGTTACTCTCCCTCAAACTCTTAGGATTTAGAACTGCTTCTGTTAGTATGTATTTTAAAATGTAACAAATTTGTTCTGTCCTGTTTTGAATTAAAATCTTTCTGTCCTTTCTTCTTGAGGTTGAAGTGGATCGTTTCCAAGATACAAAGAGACTTCTTCGTGACTATTACAGGGCAATGGAAGGAAAAATGCCAGCAGATGATGGTCAGGATTTTACTAGAATCCCATTGTTGGATATTATTGATGTAGAGAAGGATGAAGATCAAAAAAAATCAAGAAGGTAGAAATGCATTATTAAATTATACAAATACAATGCACAGATGTATTTATAGTTGTATGTGGAAATATGTGTGTCTATATTTCTAAGGATGGGGAAATTATAATTTTATCTAGGTATTATAGTCCAACGATGGATCTTGAATCAACTTACGGGTTTAATTTACCCCTGGTTTTTTACTGATTTACCTGTGTAATTTTCACTAATGTATCTCTGAATTACAAATAATTTTAAAAGCTACCTTAGAAAGAAGTCTACTAAAGAATGTTTCCTACTTCCCTCTGTGCTGCTGACAGTTTCCAGCACAATCTTCATATAACTAAGTGAAATACAATTACTGAACATTAACAGGTTTAAAATTTGCACCAACAAGCATAATTAAATGGGTTATGTAATGAAAAATATAAATCAAAGCAGCCAATAAAGACCCATATGTTAGAAGGGAAAAATGCCATCAAATAATTTCACTATATCAAAAATTATGTCAATAATGACACCTGCTTTTTAAAAATACTTACAGTTCATTTAGAAGCTGTCTCAGTAATGAGGTTGTGCTTCTAGCACATGTGGAATTACCAGCAGATCACACAGTCATTTGGTGCAGTTTTATCCATCTATTATTATTCCTTAGCTTCTGGAGTTAAACTTAACAGTTTTCTTGTCATCCACACATTTCACCACTTTTGGTGATATGGAAAGTTCATCCCTTTTCTGTTGCTATGGCAAATTTTGAAAGATGGCATTCTCATGCTCTTAGCATATTCTCCAACGTGTTATAAATTAACACTTTTTTAAATGGGGTGTGAATTATGCCTTATATTTTATTTTTAAGTATTCCCCTAGTTTCTTGGAAGGTGCCTTCACCAGAAGTAAATATTATCAAGTCAAAAATCAAGGGGACTCTACAGAAGAGCACTAAGGATGAGAATTCTGAAAATGGACTGGCCACTTCTGGGAAAGATGAAAATCTTATTGCTGATACATGGCAAACAGCTGTAACAGCAATATCAAATATGGTAAGGAATATTTTATTCACTTAAACATTTCTGGATAGGGCAGTCAAAGCCTCCCAGCCAGTAGGCTGCCTCAACACACAGCCTTCACTCTGTGTATCTAAATTTCATGCCTCTTGCTCTGCCATAGATATTTCCATTGAATATGTTTGTGTTTCTCTGAGAAACACATTCACATTCTGTGAAAATGTTGGAAACTGGTTATTATCAGCACTGTATTTATAACTGACCCTTTTACTCCACTACTGAGAGAAATACTTCGAATGTTGACTCCATATAACTGCATATTACATCCTCAATGGAAGCATGAGAAGAGGGACAAGTTTTATCCTGTGATGCAATGTTTGCTCAAGCCTTTCACAACTTCAGAAGCCATGGTTCCTTTTTTCTATATAGCTAAATTAGGTGGAATTTTCAGATGTTTAGTTTCTGGGTTTGTTTTCTCTTTTCTCTTTGATAATTTTAAAATAAGTGAATTTCTGTACCTTTACAGTGCAGCTGTAGTCTTGTTTGCATAGTGTTGACTTACATTTCTCACTTCTTTCCTAGAGCACAGATAATAGGTTACAAGCATTATAACCTCTACCTCTCCATCTTACATTTTTTGCTGCACAATTTTATTTTAGCTAAGTAATCAATTCAATTAGTTAAAATATCTCCTTTGTTTTATTTACGTGTGAATGACTCAGCAAGTACTTTCAGGAAGTACAGGCTATTCTATTTGCAACAGTAGTTGCACAGTGTCGATAGTATGTACTTTACTATGTGTGACTGTGGTGTCCAGGTAACCAGTGAAATACAGGCTAAAGAAATGGAGGAAGAAAAAGAACGTCAGCAGCTAGAACGGAAAGAAGATCTGAAATCTTCACAGATGCTGTCAGGCAAAGCTGCTGGGAAAGGCGCCAAAGATGCCAAAAAGCTTTCTCCCAAATCAGCTGCTAAAAAGAAAGGTATTTGAAATGCAGACTTTGTTTTAGCAGTGCTTGAAATTACTGAAATGTAAATATGTCAGTAATACAGTGAAGAGTAAGCCAAGATATGCAATTTGGATTTAATTTCTCTTTTGAAATGTCAAATGTGACACATCAGTGTGAGAAGCTGATAGTGTTAAAGGATTGCAGAGGCTTTTGAATGGCAATTGCATTTATTTAATCATATGTGTTGTCATTATTATGTAGGAACAAATATTCTAAATAGAATCAAGAAAGTAGTTATTAATTTTTCTCCATGGGCTGCTTTGGAATTAATAGCTAGAACTAGTTTATCAAATTAAATAAATTTCCATTAAATTCTGCCTACTTTCCCGTCATAAATCAAAATATTTCAAATACTAAAATAAAAGTACTGAAATAGAATGGATAAATTATCCAGGACCCCAGTATATATTGGAATGAATTTGTCAGCCATATAGTAGCATGCACCTATCAGGGTCCATCATTTTTATATATTTCTGTAACATGGTGTAAATAAAGAACGTAAAATCTAATGGCATATGTACTCCTAAAAAAGGCAGACTCCCATTGAGGTAGATCATGCTCATAGGCCTGGCAAGACTATCCAAACAGCTGAGAATATAAAATTTATTTGCAAAAGAGAAAGAGACATGAACCCCCTACCTCTTTAGCCTCGCAATTCACCTATTGTATGCTAAGTGGTTCGGTTGGGGTCTGTGGATTGCTTCTTGGAACTAAATTTTTGTTCAAGACGACTTAACCAGAAATCATAAAACTACAAAGTGACTCTACTGCAACGAGAACACAGCTGTGCATTCCTCATGGTAGACGAGGAAGCACCAACTGATGTGTCTGTAACTGAAGTATCAACTTTGATTTCATGCCAAATACAATTTTACTGTAGAGCTCCTGTAACAGGAGATTTGCCGAGGATACAGCTGGAGGCTAGTAACTGAGTGTTGCACCTTATTACATGTAATTGTATCACTTCTAGGTTTGACTGTTTGCTTTATGCTGACCTTATGTATCGTGTAACACCTCCATCTGCTCTTCTTCTGAGACAAAGCAGTTGCATATATTTTGATATTTCTGAATAATAGTGTTGTGACTGCAGGATTTCATGCAATCTGTACCAATATAATAAAACACCTTTACAATGTGTGTTCATAGATATGTAAGTTAAAACAAGCTGCAAAAACAGCTAACAATTGTTTAGAAAGGCATGGCATAATGTACTTCTCTGACATATTCTGATTTTTTAAAAATAACATTACTGTTCATTTCACTGCTTTGATAGTAAACAATATTTACTAACGTAGCGTTTTTTCTTCAGTTTGCTGAACTTGAACTTGTTTCAGAAGGAACAGCTATCCTTTGAAGGAGATTTGTTTATGTGCTGGTTGGGATAAACTGATAGATTTTAGGGTCAAAGAGGACATTTTGACCATGCAGGGTAACAGCAGACGCACATTTACTCAGTCGTGGTTTTCCATTCAGAAATGCATTTTAGGATGTTATTTAACCAATTTTAATACAGTTTATTTGCTGGAGAAATTTTATGCAGTGCAATTTTAGCATGCCTTGCAAATGTAAATCACATTTGGAGAAATCTGAATATGTTTTGTTGACATAAGACACCTGAGTAAACACCTTTGTATTCTCAGAAATGGTCACATCAAGTAAGGTGCAAAATGCCAATTTTCATTTTAAAAAGTCAGTCTTGTGATTGCCTTTATACTGATACACAAACGTACCAGCAGAGTCCAAAGATCGTGAGAGGTCTATTTTCCTGCAGGACCACGTTCTACTGCATCTGTGGTTGAAGTCAGTCCAGTTCCTATAACACCAGAAGAATTAAAGAAACAAGAACTCACACGTAAAATAAAGCAAGAATATGTCAGTGCCTTGAAACATGAGGGTATGTTACTATTCGGTTACTTACTGAGGGAGGGTGATTGTTACTCCTAATTTAGGTAGTGTAATAGTCAAAACTAGCCAAAAACTCTAAGGAGAATGGATGGAAAAGAAAAATGAGGGCAGAGAAAGGAGTGTCTGGAAAAATCAGGAATATTTTTAAGGTCATAGTCATCTGTGATTTTGCGGTAAATATTTTTAAAATAGAAAAGTGGCTTTCATTCTTTTTGTTCTCTTCTGTTTCATTTAAATTCGTTTTCAGTGACTAAACAAGTATTCAGCATGAGAGAATAAGTTTCACACAGGTGGTTACCCACTCCTCAGTATTCAATTGAATGGAATTCTATATTTGAAATGTTATTTGATCTGGGAAAGAATTTGCTGGAAATTTTACATTTCACTGATGCTCTTGTCTCTGATTCCCTCTTCCTCAAGCCACATGGGATTCAAGCAGCAAGACATAGATTTTGTTTATTCTTCCAAACTATTTTCCAGACCAACCCTTCCAAAAACTACTTATTGTTCAGTCATTCTGTCTGTCCTATCCAATAACTTCCAAGCCAACTGGTCAATTTCAGCCAAAAGTAGATGTCTAAAAACAGAAGTCCCAAAATTTAAATGGTTTTTTTTTTTTTTTTTTTAGATGAGTTTAGAGCAGAAGATAAAGACCTCTTTCTGACTAAAAGGAAGATAGAACCTTTAGATTCTCTTTGGCAGGCTAACTTTTGCATACTCTTTATAATGAAAAGTAGGGGGCAAACAGCAGTTAATGAATAAATCACAAATTTATAAGACTTCTTTAGGTCCACACCAGAAAAAATGCATGTACACCTACCACTTTTAACATGGATTAATTCAGAAGCAGCTTAGGAGTCAATATTCTAATGTTTTGAGATAATGAGAAGAAGAATGGGTAGTTACTTTGAAGATCTTACTAAGTGACTCATTCACATGGTTTTTTTTCTTGGGGTTGCTTCCTTTTCAACTTATATTTAACACAAACGCCAAGGTATGAATTTAAGGAAGACTAAACATGTTGAGCTATATTTCATCTTTGCACAGGCACACAGCTGGTACATTTGAGGATCGTAGTTTCACTTGCAGCAATGGAAACTGGTCGCTTGTGCTTTTGGTTATACGGATACATAAAGACCGGCAAAGTCACTAGTTGTGGACAGTGGCTATGTCCGCTTTATCAGAGCACTGTGCAGTAGCTGCTTCTGAAAATGCAGGGAAGCATAAATTGTTATACAATTATCTAGGTAACATACTGATGGCAGCTACTCATGCAGAGAAGTCACAAATAAGGCAGCCTTAAATTGTATTAAAGAAAGGTGACTAGACAGGCACAACACATCCTCTAAGATACTTTCAGTTGCTTAGAACCTTTACTCATGTTTTTTCTGTCAAATAAAATAATCCTCTGTGAGACCCAAATCCATTTTATGTGTAAAATTTTGACCATCAACTCTTTCTTGCCCAAAATAGAAGGTGTGCATTTTCCTGTGACTGAGAAAGAACATTAAAAGGACTTGCCTTATATTTTTCAGGGTCCATTTTTCTACACTGCCTAAAGAAATTTTCAGCCATAAACCTAAGTATTTTGAACACTTAGTACCATAGTCTGTAACCTTGAAGTCACTCTACCAGTTACTGTGTAATATTAATTGATTGAAAGATTCTACAGTACAGAAGGTTAAATACCAAGGAAAAATCAAGTTGCATACTGAATTTGCCTTCAGGTTTAAAAATAATCTCTTGCTACTTGTCTTTTTTATTCTTCTTATGTAAAGCTTTAAATGTCTTTCAGTGCCTGTTCCATGTATCTCTCAATACATTGCCCTAGCTGTCTTTTCATCCAGTTGGTATCCTTTTGCTTTGGACATTACTGACTTGTTCCCACTTCTTGTCCTTTTGCCTCCTTTATTTTTCCTTACTAGCCTCTCAGTGAGAGACTGATGAGTTTTTTTTCTCAGTTCTTACTATTCTGAAAACTAAAAATAATTAAATTGTCAATTATTTTAAAAGTTTCATGTAATCACTCTATGAATAATTTTGGTAGAAGTGAGTTGCTTTCTTAGTGCTCACTAATAAAACATTCTTCTAATGCAACCTGCATTATAGGGTATCAAATAGTCATATGTAGGAAGCTTGGAGCAAAACCTGTGAAGTCAATTTTAAAGACCTGGAGGTTGGAAACAGTAAGAACAAACTGTTCTTGTGATTGACATACATAATGATTTAAGTGTGTTTTCTTTAAAATTTGTCCATAACAGGCTACTCACATTTACATCCTTAAGCTTCTAGATATGATACAGCATAGTGTTAATCTAGTTCAATGTCACTGTCTACTTAAACATCCCCTTCACCTCTATATATGTTTTACTAAGATATTTGCTACCTTGTGAATTATGATGCTTATGGAAGACACACTTTTGTAGAAGTGTGCAGTAGGTGCAGTAGGGATGATACTGAAAAATAATTTGTTCAAGAATACAAGGAGTTTTGTACATTTTTTACTGCTGAGAAGCAGGTTATTATGTTAAACTTCAGGTTCTTAAGACTGAGAATTTTCCTCAAATTTTATAAATATTAATTATGACATTTCGGTTTAAACAGAGATAGCCACAAAGTCTCAACTAGAACTTATAAAAGAAAAAGCTTTAGCATTTGTTGAAGAGCTGACAATGAAAGCAGAAGAGGCTTATAAGGATATGGAAAAGTGGCTTGGATCCAGGTTCTTGGCAGAAATGTCCAGGTAATGTAAATCCCATTTCAAACAGGAACCATTTTTTTCAAACTAGGCTATGACAGTAAATATAGCTGTTTCTATAGAAGCAGGTAATTTTAAAAAAATAAAGGTAGAAAATAATAATTTCATTTCACAAACTGGAATTTAATTTTATCTTAAATGCCTGAATGGTTATAACTCATTTCTTGGATGATTAGAAGGTTCTGCTGGCAGCAGTAGACATAATTATCAGTTCTTCTGTTTTTTCTAGACTACAGATTTAGCAGATTTATGAGCATCAGCAGACAACCAGTTATTCCATTTAGGAGAAGCCTGTATATCATTCCAGTGACTTCTGCACTTTGGATTGTGCGTTTTTTTTCTTTTCTGTGCTTTACACACGCTGGAAAATTCCACTTCTTGTTATTACCACCCTGCATAACATTTCTCAAAATTATTTCAAGGTCCATTAAAAACAAAGTTCTTCTTCATAACTTTTCTGTCCTAGTGCAAAGGACACTATTGGGACCACTCTATGACACTTAGACCTATGTCCAGATCAATAAAGGTTTTCACTCTCCAACAGAAAGGTGTCGCTTTGCCTTTTCAAAAATGTTTCTGGCCTGTACTCGCTTTTGAAGCACACCTGGGTCAGTGTTAGTTGATGCATGTCAGGGCAAGCCCAAGACAAGAGACATGAGTGTAGAATGTGAAGGTTCTACTTGGCAATAGCTCCAACAGCCTGAGCTTCTGACTTCCAGCCAGTTTTTTTTGCTCTCCTGACAACAAGTGCTACCAAAGACGCAGTATTTCCAGAACATCATGTCCTTTGACCTGACACTCCAGGCCAAACATGTCTGTTTGAACATTATATACAGCTAATGTCTATCCCTGTGTAAATTATATCCATTACACTTGAAACGGGAATTTGTCTGCCACTCTGTGCATAAGTGTTTTATACATCTAGGATTTAGGATCAGCTCAGAAGACAAGGCATTGAAATAGGTCAAAGTATGATTAAAGATGGAACATGTATGTGCCAACCATATAAAATTTATTGAATAAAGAAAGTCTCATCCTTTCATATTTTTCCATCAGGTGTCTTCTGTGACTTAGATCTGCCTTTATATAAATTACCTACCACAGTCAAAAGATTTCTTGCTGACAGAGGAGGAGTATGTTCATAATGATTTTTCCGAGTACAGAATTCACAAACAGGATTTGTAAATTCTTACTTCAGGAAAGTTCTCAGAGTGTAAACTCATTAAAATTTGAACCTAAGTTATTAACACCGTGTATTAAAAACACTGATTTTTTTGTGCATTTGCAATTTGACAGTGTTGAAAAGCTGGTTGAGGTTGCACGACACCATATTGAGAGTTCTAGCAAAATCCAATATGAAATTACTTTAGAAGAAACAGATTTCTTCATCAACAGTGATGTAAAAGTGATTCCTGATCCTGTTCCTTCACCACGTGTTCCACACATAGAGACCTCTGGAAGTGGTACTCTAACTGTTTCACAACTTACTACACTTCATAAGCAGTTTCTGCAGGTGGCACCTAAAGGTAAGAAAAGTTTTTCCTTTCACTCCTGAAGGACTGTTAAGTACCTACTTAAAATTTAATGTAACTTCTGGGAGCTACTAAACATTAGTTACCTGTATTGTTAAAGATGATACTACACTTTAAGATCCTGCTACATATAAAAATGAAGTCATAGTGCAGAATATTGAAAAATTGAAATACCAGACCACTTGGAAGCTTTTAATGACTTTGCTGTGGGCTTTATATCCTCAAGACCACGTAATTAATATTCCTCTGAGAGGTGCCTCTGTAACATGTTTTAAGAGTGGTACATATCGTGCTTACTTCACTTAAAGATGCAAGTCTTCAACTTGTTTACAAATTCATAGTTCAGTTAACACAACTGTATTATTTTAAAACACATTTTTAAAGAAATCAGCATTTTCATGCAACTATTATATAGGGACTATTAACCATTACATTCTTCGAGTCAATGTGTGCTGGTTGTTTTGGATGTTTTACAAGTGTTAACTCGGATATGTGATTTTTTTCCTTTGTACGTGCATGTGTGCCTACCCTTTAATCACGGGAACCTTAGGCTTTGGATGCTTGAAGATACTTTCTTGCAAAACTTCCTGATGCTATATAAATGTTACAAAATAACTTAGTTAAGGAAATTTTAAACTGACATGGAAAGTAGTTAAACACATATTTGCAGGTGGTTTCATTACTACCAGCGTACCGTATTATAATTTTAGTATGATTGCCACTAAGATTGTGAAATACAGTGTGTAAAAATGTACTAACAATTTTGGATCCAGCTCTCACAGTGTAATAAGGACCACAAAGGCAAAATGAAGTTGAATTTAATACTTTATTCAGAAATGCTTTTCATGTATATTTGTAGAGAAATTCTAATCACCTTTGGAGCATGAACCCGTTTTAGACAGAAAGATATTTACAGTTTTACTTTAGAGAGACGCATATTATATTATCTATAGGGTAGGAGCATCTGTGTGTGTAAGCACTCCAAACACTTCTATAGATATTAATTTAACAAGTGGTATTGCATATTTAATGCCATGTGAAACTAAAACTCGGTACGTTTGTAATCATTAGATAGTTCCATATAGGTAAAACACAGATACCAGTTTGACTGGTCATTCCACTTAAAAGATTTTCTTTTCTTTTGATCATTTATTCATTAAGATATTTAAAACTAAGAAAATCTAATATTCTTGGCATGTTCAAGACAGAACAACTATTTTCCTTGTACATTTGTAACAATTAGCAAGAGGAAAAATGAAATCTTTATCTTTCTACAGCATTATCCTTTCGATAATATTATATTCACTAAAATGATCCAAGATGACTTACACAACTATACAAAAAGGTAAATATCTTGATTTAATAGTCACCAGACAGTAAAGGCATGATGTTGCATGTTATCTGGAACAATGGTAAGGAATTGTGAGTGTTGGTCTCTTCACACAAGTAAGAAGTGATAGGACAAAAGGAAACAGCCTCAAGTTGCACAAGGGCAGGATATTTGGATTGGATATTAGGAAAAATTTCTTCACCCAAAGGATTGTCAGGTATTGGAAGGGGCTGCCCAGGGAGGTGGTGGAGTCACCATCCCTGGAGGTACTTAAGAGATGTGTAGATGTGGTGCTTAGGGATGTGGTTTAGTGATGGGTTTGGCAGTTCTAGGTTAATGATTTTACTTGGTGATTTTAAAGCTCTTTTCCAACATAAACGATACTATGATTTTAATTCTTGTTTAAAATAAAGTCTCAGAGAGCATGCAACAGCATTCTTCTACTCTCTGGTTATTAAGTCAAGATATTTCCCTTTTTGGATAGCTGAATTAGGATGGGAAACACAGGCTGTGCAAGTCATCTTACTTCCTCCCATTTTCTTACACACTTTACGACCTCATAAATCACATCCTATGTTTCCTAAGGCAACCACTTCCCTTCATTTTAGAGACTCTACAGGAAGTGTTAAATGCTTCCTCTCCTAAAACATCAGGTAAATTTTTTGTGTCCTTCTGTCTCCCCTTGTTCAATAGAATGCTCAACAGAAGACATGCTTCCTTCGTAGTTAGTCTCTTACTGAACAAAAGAGGGAAAAACACTCAAGCACCCAGCACACACTGGCAGTGAATCTGTTGGACAGCAGCTCCAAAGGAGACACAAAAAAGTAACAAACTAAACAAAAAGGTCTAGATTTGCTGCCAGACATCTTAATTCTTACTCACCTGAGCAGTACTCTGAGCATTCATAATGGAAATCCATGCAAATGAGCACACAGGTCATAGACTATAGGGCAAGTCTATGTATAATATACCTACCAATCTTCTCTGCTGGGTAAATAGCAAAATTTGAAGTTGTTCTGAAAATGGAATATTAGGCCTATTTTCTATAGCATTATGAGGATTACATGAAGAAGATTTTTATTTTCCTGGAAATCGAAGCAAAAGAAAGAGTAACAAAGGAAAAATTATGTTTGAAGACATAAACATCTAAACAGTTTTCTCACAGGATATATGGTAAATGTCAAAAGGATGTCTTTTCAAGATATGTTTAAAAATTACCAAAATGAGAGCAAAAGTGGAAGTGCCACTGTACTTTAAATTTGGTTGTTATCTACAAAAGAAATCTTATAAAAATTGTAAACAGTTTTGTGTTTCCTAGGAATTTAAAGTATTAAAGAACTACCGATTCATCACCGACAATTTGTTCTATCCTGCTCACTTGGCTGTCCATGGAAGCACATTACCCATCATTCTAAGCACCGATGGACAAAAAATACAGTCTATGAACTTCCTACCTGCTGATACAGTCCTTCACTTGATAAGAAAATACTTAAATTATTAATTTTTTTATTATTCCAAGTGCCATTGCCCAAACTCAAGGTGGCTCTGCAGTGTTTGTTAATTTCACTAACTCCTTTGATCTGTTTGTTACAGTGCTTTAATACATTGCCTTAGGAATGTGCTGCTTTTTTGTAGGAAGAGCTGTGGCAGGTCTTAAATGGAGCTACTAACACTCATTTTTTCTTTTCTGTTCTACAGTGTCCTTGGATGTGTTCTGTTCCTATCAACAAGATTAAACTAACCATCTATTAGATTTCATCCCCTTCATTTCCCTTTAGCACTATATTCTTCCTATGACCAGATCTATTGTCAATTTAATTATCACACATCTGAAATGTCTCAATTTTCTTCTGAAGGTGCTTCAGAGAATGCAATTTTGATAATGTTTTGCATTACCAAACAGATAAAAATAGATTCTATTCCAGACTTTTGTCCTCCATCTTATGACTGAATTACAAAAAGGAATTTTAAACTTTATTTTTTTTCAGTCATGATCCTCATGAACCATTACAGTTTGAATTCTAGAATTGATTATTCATCAGAAATAGATTTCAGTTGGGTTTAAAAACTTATCCAGTATCCAAAAAGTGTTTAAAATGCTTATTTATGAAACTATTTATAAAACAGTCTGCTGAGATGTGAACCAGTAAAACGTAAGAGTATAGCCTATGACCAAACTGAATTGCTGTTTCTTTTCAAACTGTAGACTTGCCAGTTGAGTTTTACTGTGTTGCTAGGTATGGAATAGATATTCATATTAAAATGGGCATCTAGTTCAACTGAAATCTTACCTTTTGAATAGAGTATTTTGATGAGTGGAACTGTCAGAATTATATTTCGACCCTGAATAATGTCTATAGATCATGCTTTCTCTTCCCAAGCACTTTCATAGAAACAATTCAAGAGCTTACAGTAGTAGTCATCATGATCTTTGATGTGTATAGAGAGCAAAGTCCATACGTGAGCATAGAAATAAATTCATAATCTCTAACTTACCTTTTCTAAGACTATATTTCTTTTCAATGTGCTTTTTTTAAAACTTGAAAATAAGAAAGGTTAAATTTGTAGACAGAGGAAGAATCTTTTACTAGACAAATTATATAGATAGAAAAAGCCTAAACTTCTGGGGTATAAAGCCCTTAATCAGAGATCCAAAATAGGTACAATAACTCTCCCTACACATAATGGAAAATTTGGTAATTCTGCTGACTTAGTTTCACTTACACCGCCTGTTATGTCTCTTACTAAATCATTTATGTTATTTAATTTCAGAATTCTGTGACTGTTTGCTTATGTTGTTTGAAAATCTGTGTATCGAATTACTTTTATGAAACATATTTAACATGTTTGTATATGTTTCTGTGCATTTGAATATATGTATCCAAGTACTAAGATTTCAATCAGCAGGATAGAGGAATTGTCCTTTACTTTCTTTGCATCTGTGCAACAACAGGCATACCTTACTCTGTGTGATTCTAAATTTAAAATCCCCCTTTCTGCTAATTAGTGAAGATTGGACATATAGCAAAATGAGTCATAATTAGTCAATAAATGAAAATATTTACAGTGAAAATCACCTGCAGGGGGTGGTAAGTATCTCAGTATCTTGGAGGGAATGAATCACATTTTTGAGAACCCTATCTTTTTCATTTAAGGACAGAAGTATCCCATATTACTAGCTTTTAGACTACTAAAGTTAGATTACTATAATTCAGCTTTAGTGTTTATTTCACTCATTCATCTCGTATAGCATTGCTACAGTCTCTAGTGCATAACTTGCATAAGTCATGATCCAAATTTCTAGTCAGAAATTGCTATGGAAGCATTTTTCTCAGTGAAAATGGAGGGGAATAGGAATCTGTCTAAATGTGTTGGTAAAATTTGATGAAGAGGGCATAAAATGTTAACATAATTCTCATCTCTGGTATAGATTTACATATCTTCATATTTTGTTGCCTGTGTAAATTTATACTTTGAATCTTTCCTACGGTTCTTTTGATTAGGGAAAATATTCTGAAAGTATATGAAAATACTCTGCTGACTGGTATATCATTAAGAAATGGTCTCTTTTGTATATCTGTGCCATATAACTGAGGCATGGTGATTTGTCTTTATTTCTTATGTTCCTTTTAAATGCCACAGTCCTGGTTCACAGGGTACACAT